AAAAAAAAAAAAAAAAAAAAAAAGCAGCTTTTTTTTTTTTATGAGCCTTTCTGTGTATTTAAAATTAAGCTGTCATATTGCTTTCTCAAATTTCAGAACGAGTTTAGAATTTGAATGTGAAGACATTCTGTTGGCCCTTTTACAGTGACATGAGTTCCAACCCTCAGTTTTTTCTGAGTGAGAACGTAGGTAGATTGAAGAAGCCTCTGGGGGAAATACCTTTAAGGATGGGATGTAGAAGAGTAAATTCCATGTAAAGAGGACACTAATTTGTGTGTACCGCTTTCCAAACTGTGATACCTACATCACTGGTGCTAGACAAGATGTGTTTAGTTGGAATTTCACTGAAGTCTTATTTACCTACTAATAATATATTTAATTTGATTAGTCATGGCATGTGATAACTGGCTTTTCATTTATGACATGCATGTCTCCCTTCATAAAAGCTTATTTAAATAAAAAATGCAAAAATGTTAAATAACCATACAGGTGGTATATGAATATGGTAAACATCACAAGGTAGGTACCCAGATGACAGAGTTTGGGGAAACACTGATGCCAAGAGCCAGCGTCTTCTAGGCCAGCCCTAGGCCTGCCAGGCCAAAGGTGCACACCCGTCACCCACAGAGAGCAGGGAGCTGGTGGAGGTGAGCTTTACCTAAAATAGTCACACTTTATGGGTATATGCCAACCACACAGAGTAGCAAGCTGTGTGTGTTCAGCTTAATCGCTTATTGAGCCTCTACTCTGGAATAGGAAATCAGTTGAAGGGGCTGGGGGACCAGAGGATCCCGGGCAGAGCTTTACAGCGAGAGACTCAGGGGAGTAGCCCAGTCTTACCTGAGAAGCACATTGGACCAGCCAGGACTAACTTGCTGATTTTATTTAAGAGGACAGTGCGGTAGGATGATGCTAAGCAAGAATGTCAAATGGAGCAGGCTCTTCATGAAATCTTACAAGTACTTACAACCATTGTTCTTTTCCCCTGCAAATACAAAAACCATGAAGCAAAAAGTACATGGAGAAGAGCCATTAGCCTTATTTATATTTGGAACAGAATCTAGAAACAAAATTGTAATTATATTCTTTTCCTCATCTGTGTTTAACAGCAAAAATCCTCTGGGCTGTGGTCCTCTCTACCCCCACCTTTACCTCCCCCATTCTCCTTGTGGCCTCTTAATGAGGCCCTTCGTAAGCTGACAGCAGGGGTTACCAATCAAAAGCTGCTCCCAGGTTGCGGGCTCACATTGCCTGCCTCTCTGCAGTTTTTCAGGCCCTGGAGGAGCCCCCACCAGCATGTTGCTTTTGTGGGGGAGTGGAGGAGAAAGTCCTCATAAAAAGACAAGAAACAGAGCAGAGTGGACCCGTGCTACCGACCCAAACCATACATTCTAATGCATAATTGGTTGTAAAAGCTAAGTCACCCAGTCCTCCAGCCACCAGTACTTTTCATTCTAAAAGTCATATTTCTTTTTTCTTTTACTTGAAACAGAATAAATGATAATACTCAAGGTCCAAGTGTTGAGTTTCTGTTTAGAACCAGAGAGGAAACTCAACTCAGATCCTCAGCTTGACTTTACTGGTCCCCATGGTCCCGGTCACAGCTGTGATTGCAGAGAGACCCCCGTCTCCACCCCTCTCCCTTCATGCCCCCACCTCCTGCTGGAACCATCTCATTTAGAACAGCTCTGAGGACTTAGGGGAAGGGATGTGGGGCAGCAATTCTCTGGGGCCTAAACAATGTTAATAATGAGAGCTGATGTTTAGGATTACTCTAAGTGACACAGATACTCACGTGTTATTAAAAATTTGTGTGTGTGTGTTTGTGTGTGTGTGTGTGTGTGTGTGTGTGTGTGTGTGTGTTGTGTGTGTGTGTGTGTGTGTGTGTGCATGTATGTAGAGAGAGAGACTGATTGATGGATGAATTGATTGATTGATTGATTTAAAGCCTTCTAAAGCACAGGGTAAAGACTGCTCTGCCCAGGATTTAGGATGGTACTACCCTACATCAGCATTCAACAAGCCTTTTCCAAGTTCATCCCCGTCAGCCCATTAATCATGATATGGACCAACCGGGCCAGGACGTCCTGACTTTCTCGGTGTGTTCCTTTTGAAGACTGCTGACTGGGTTTTTCTCTTGTTTTGTCTATTAGGAACTGGTGAAAGTGGCAAAAGCACCTTTATCAAGCAGATGAGAATTATCCATGGGTCTGGTTACAGCGATGAAGACAGAAAGGGGTTCACGAAGCTGGTTTACCAAAACATATTCACCGCCATGCAAGCCATGATCCGAGCCATGGACACCCTGAGGATACAGTACCTGTGTGAGCAGAATAAGGTATAGCGCTTGCGGGGCGTTGCCCTGTTTGTGATGGCATGCTTTCCTACTCTGGTGAGCAGATGTTTCTGAACAAAAAGATTTACTGGGTGTTTTGGTCAGAGGCCAAAAGAAGCTCTTGAGCTCAAACTCCAGAGAAGTGTGATGAATGTAGTTGGCCCTGTGGTCTTTTTTATGCTGGAGTTCTAGCACGGCAATAGTGTGGGGCTACCCCTGTGCGGGGATTCAGAATTGTGGGCAGTTGTTTAATTTGCTTATTTCAGGCACTGAGAACAGGAAGGCATATGCATTTTCTCCTTCAGCTAAGGTACCCAGTTAGTTTTTCAGTGGAGCAATGGAGACCTTGGGTTTATAAGGGCCAACTTTTTAAAGAATTCCCAGTCTTAGGACATATTTTCACTAATGCCCTGTAAACTACTCAGAGAAAGCAGTGGGTTTTGTTTGTTTATTTTGGGAGCTAGCCCTTCTTGGGAGTTAAGTGATAGCTTATGTGAGTGATGCTTATATCCCAGCCAGCAGCGGGCCCTGATAAAGTATTGGTAACAAGCTCTCATTGGCTTTCATATCACCACTGGTCATTTAAAACACAAATCTGTGTAAGACCATAGGGAATAAAGGAGCAGGATGATGGGAGGAGGAGACAAATAAAATTTTATGTGGTATATTGGAATGCAAATTCATTGGATAATACTATGTCTGAGTTCATTAGGAATCTGGATTAGAAATAGAGTTTATTTAAAATCATACCAAATTACTACATGACGTGATGATAAAAAGAAAAACTGTCTAAGATGAGTCTCTTTTGGGTCTATTAAAAAGAAATATAGCTGCTAAAAAGCCAGAATTGAGTGGGCTTTAGTATAGATCCCAAGGACAGCTTTCTCATGAACTGGTGGCACCTGTGTTCATATGTGCTTTATATATATATATATA